CGACACATTTTTAACCGCCATGCTGTGCACAGTTGAGCGATTCACTATGGGAAAACGACAATCAATTAATAAGGGAATGTCGATTGAGAATAAAAAAGGTGCATCATCCTAATGTGCATCGCTTTTCATCAGAGAGGGTCCAAACACACACATTTTGGATAAGAAATTCGTCATTTTTATTTAAACTCACCTGAAACGTCCCACCAGAAACATCGACAACCGGAAAATAATTTAATTTGACAACCAAAGTATGGCTAACCTTTTGACGATATTTTTACCCCGTTTTCTCCTGCCAGTTTTTCTGTAGGGAGGTAGGTCGCAAATCGGAAAGGGTCGCTAATTAGGCACCTTACCCTATTAAAGGTAGTGTGCCAGCTTTCTTGGACCATATGGAGTTAATGACCCGGATAAGGAGAACCGGATTTTTAGAACTTATCCATACCTTCAAAACTTATGGAAACGTCTTAAATTCTTCAAATTTTGAGTACCCCAGTGCGAAATTCGCCCCGACGGGTTGTCGGTCGTACCCCAACCACATTTCACACCACTATGAACAATAAATGCACACACTAAAATCGCTATTACCGATAGGCTCATCCAATCAAGTTTCGATAAACCCGTTCATCTCCTGCGGTTTCGAACACGCCTGTTAGGTGGCTTCTGATGCTCGTCGAGGTCGGAATTTCCAAATACGCGTGGTGCGTCGGGCCGCGCGCTCTGACTTCGGCCAAGAAAAATGCGTCAGCTGATCATTGTCATTTCTGCCACTTGCGTGTGGTGTAATGGGGTCATAACTTAAGAGACGGCTGTTTCATATCAATTATTTTACATAAAATCATATTTCAAACCACAAATTAATGTTCGACAGCCAAATTTAAGAAACAATACCAATACAGGCTTACAGTTTAAGGCTCGACATTGTGTTGTCTACGATTAGACAGCTGATAACTCATTCCCGTACGTCGTATGGTCGTAACACTATAATGACCTTTGCTTATTGTCACAAGTGCGCCGCATTCGCGATTGTTGCCCGACGCCTGTTTGCAGGTGAGCCCACTACAGTTGTTATACATATCTAAAAACCGATAAACTTTTAGGCGAAAAAGGCACTATTCCAGGCCCATTTTTGATTTTTTTTGCGATATTAGGTAAAAACAGAAGCTTCTTATCCTAGGAAAAATAAAACGGGAAAAGGTGGCACACTACCTATAAAATACATGTTATGTGTCTGCCGTGGGGGCTAACTTAATGTCATTCATTATTGATCACCCTGTAGCTTCAATGCCTTCATCTGATTGACACTCATACATCACAAATATGGATAATCACAATCTAGGGTATCACTACACTGCAGGTGATAGCGTCGGCCTCCGCCCACGCCGCCTCGCATCTCTACCCACGCGAGGCGGCGCCCCCTGACCACCGACCCGTCACGTGGGCCACAGGCGGCCCGGCCACCCAACAAATGTTGGGCGCCCGGGCACAGGTTAGCCCGGATGGGGTAGCGCGGAGGCTCTTCGCCGCTCGGAGCGATGCTCAGACATCTGCATTCGCTTACGTATCGTTCAGTATGGGATTGGGGCCCAATGGTAGCATCTGTGTGCCATAAAATGTAACAATGGGCGCTTTCATCTGGCGCTCGCCGGCACGGACACTATGGCGACCGTCTAAAAACGCCTGTCCGTTTCACGGCCACTATCACGCTGCTTGCCGCTGGCGTTAGCATTGACACCAAGTTGTAATGTTCATGCATTAAAATATCAAGATATTTCTGTTACCATTTGGGCGGTCGATTGTTACCTGTTATTTTGGTGAAAACGTTCAAAAGAAAAATGTAACCAATGTACATATGTGTATAATACATGTTGTCCATGACATACGTATTATGTGGTATGTCATAGGTATCTGCACAATTTGAGACAGGGAGACATAATTGAGGCTGTTTTTGTACAGTTGGAGACAGCCAAGCCATTTTTTCAGCTCTGTACATATTTGCACATTACGTATTACGGCAAAAGCCTGTTAACCTCCCACAACTTGAAAACATGAAATAAAAGGCGGCAATGGAGTTTGAAAGCAATCGCTTCCATATGAAGTAATCCTATGCTAGCCATTTTTCTTCATAGGCTTACCCCGTGGCCGTTCCCTTTCTTCTAGAGTGACAAAATCTGTAATTCGTTTAAATAACTAAAGGGGAAATTTGGACATATTTTTTTTTGGGGGGGGGGGGGGACAAAAGACACTATATCCCACCCAACATTTTGGTTGGGTGGGACGCGTCCCCCCCCCCCCGTCCCCCCCCCCCCCCCCCCCCGGTGGCGGAGCCCTTGTTAGTTGAAGGTATAACCACTTAATAGCACCACTTTGACGCGGCCTGAAATGCACGTAGGAGTTACAGGAGCCATTTGGTGGTAGAATTAGCTGATCGATGTGGATTGCTGTCCTACTAAACGATAAATCAACGAACAGAGCCAGCCGAATCTGGCTTCTGTTATTGAATTCCATCGCCCCTTACCCCGCCAGTCAACGAGTATCCACACTGATTGAGCATTTCACGGCACCGAAAACTCTTTGGTAGGTACCCCACCTGTGGGTAGCTTTTTGTAGGACATACCGACCCGCCCCTCTCTTCCGTCCCGCAGCAGGCAGCTGGCAGTCGGCCCTGGGTCAGCTCCTGATCCATCCCATATACGGTGTCCGTTGACTGAGGGTCACGGCACGGCTCAGGGTCTGGCGCCGTTGCCAGCCACGTGCCGCTGAGGGCGGGGCTCCCCCCGGCCGTTCGGCAGGTGTCTGCTGATGCCGACACAGACCCGCCGGCCGGCCCAACATCAGTCAGACACCGGACCGCTGACGTCACCACTCAGCGCCCATCGGCGGCCAATTAATCACCTAGGCCCGCCAGCTGGGAAAACGGCCGGGCACAAAGCACGCGCCGGTGGAAACTCAATGCCGCACGCGGGCTGAACCACCAATAACCAGGTCACTGCCGGAGGCGCGGGTCACGAGGTTGACCGCGGGGCACTGACCCCAGCAATGGAGAGCAGGCCGCGACGCGTCCTTCGCACACACGTCGCTGTATTCTCGACTGTATACATGAGTAAAACCGTGATCTCATCCTAGCGAGGTGGGTCTAAGTAAAGCCTGGTGACGGCCGATGGCAGGTTAGCGCGCTGCCGTTGGGTGCCGTTGGGTAGAATCAAGGTAAATGTTTGGCCCGAGCGGCGCTGCGGGGTTTACGCGGCGGAACAGAGCGGCGCGCCGGCCCGATTTACCGCCGTGCCGCGCTCAAAGGTCGCCCTGTGAGCGGTTATCGCCCATCGGCTCTCGGACGACGGAGCCACGCTCCGGCAGGCGCCGAGGGCTCCGCCACCGCCCGAGCCCTGAGTCAGACGGTAGTGAGCTCTGTCACAGTCGGCCGAGTCGTGAGCCAGTTGGTAGCGAGTCCCGGCACCGGCCGTCGAGTCGGTGGCGAACCCAAACTGGGCCACAGGTGAGGCGGAAACAGACGAGGATGGAAACAGGTGTTCTGACAATGGCAGCCTCCTCCCTCCATACACACACGCTGCGTCAACATTACGCAGCAGACGTTTCCTTTGACCGCTTCCCATGGCGATAAATCATGCCTTCGCCCGTCACCGGCAGGCTACCGAGCCGCAGCGGCACGCCCAACCGCTCGGCTATTACCCTAACTAGGGATGGCTGGCCGGCGCCTCCGCCGCAGACCGTTCGATTAGTTATGCCACGGCACCCCCAACCCCGCTACCATGCAGTTGACCGTACTGGTGAGTGGGGGTCGATCGGAATACGGGAGGGATACCCGAATTCGACGGGCGATTACCCTGGCCTCTGAAGAAGTTAACTATCCCCATTTGATACAGCTAAGCACAGCGTTCTCTAGCTGAGCATAATCTATTTATTTCATATTGACAGTCACTCTCAGCATTTTTAACAAAGATCTTGATCATAAAATCGTAGCTCACCGTGGCCAGGTGAAGTTGACCCAATGGCCTTCAATTTCATGACTTTCCAGCAGTTCCGTAGCGTTGCTTCACGTTGTCAGCACTCATATTTTGGAGAAGTGAGTGCGAGAATCTTGAGCAAAAAGGAGGACAGTTTCGCATAATTGTTTCGAAAGTACTTCGGATAATTTAATTTTACCGACTTTCGCCAGAACAAACAATGATGAAGAACATGTTTAAATAACTTCCTTCATTGATATCTTCCCAGTTAAGAGCCACCGTCAGATTGTGGCACGGAAGTTGACAACCAATGTCACTTTCCGTTCAATACTTTGCATGGGACAGAGCGTACCCGCAGTCATGGGGGTCATGGGCTCAACACACGTATGCGGACGCAGGATAAAAAAGTAAGCTCATCATCTAATATTGGATAGAGCCGCAGACCATGTAAGAAACCTTTATGAGAAAAGGCGATAAGCTGCGCCGAGCAGCAGCTCAGGACAGGCTGCTATTTATCCTGTCTATCTCATCAGTTCTGGATAGCTGATGGGATATTGGCGCGATATCAAGCAGAGCTGCCATTAGCCCGAACTACAGCAGCCGACAGTCGGTGCTCTCGGCGGACAGGGCGCTCACAGCTACTGTTGGGACCTCAAAAACAATAAATCCTCCCCCCCCCCCACAGAGCACTGATGAGTCACAGTGACTCGGTTTGCCAGCTCCGAGACTCGCGAACACTTCCGCGAGCTGAGTCTGAGTCAGAGGACTCGGTACAAGACTTGACTTGACTTGATATGTACTACAGTGCAGCAACAATATCAACTATTCCACGGGGAGTACGATAGCAGAGACAGAAACGAGCCAGTTCAAAACTACCACAGTGGTTATGGACAAAGCAAACAACCGCATACTTCCGGATAAGTACCTAACAAAATTTATCAAAAACAAATACAAATATATGCCGTTTTCTAGACAACTCACAGATCTTCCCGATATCTTTTCCATTTCACTCCTATCACAACACACCAAAGACCGTTGAACAGTACAAATACTATATTTCGTTTTGGACCGCCGCCCACCATCAGGGGTGACGGAGCGGTCCCATTACAGCACGGTCACAATCTCACAGCGGGAGTCAGTGCCAGCCACGGCCGACCCGGCTCCGGGCCAGCCGACGAACTGCTCACCGGCGTACAGGGTCACAAGGTCAGAGAACGGGACACCGCCCGACACACACACACACACACACACACACACACACCGGTACGAGCACTGACAGCACCACCAGCACCGACACGGGTGCTGCAGATACCGGCATCCACGCTGGAGTCGCTCCCTGCCCGGCGCGGCCGGAGCGAGTTCACTTACCCAGCAGCGAGCCCTTCATCATCTCATGCACCTTGGCCTTCAGACCCTGAAACGAGCCGACAGCAGACCCGTGAGGACCGGAACTAACGAACATACTGGGGTGTAGACAATGGACGAATGAGGACCCAGGCATAGGGGAGGCGGTGTTACAGTACATTGTCCCGCTTCATCTCCTTCACACAACAATGCATCGTCACCCTGAAACGCATTAGACGAATACACCATCTCACAAAAGTTTACAGTTTACACGAAGTCTAAAAGAGCGGAAAAATCAGCTGACGTGGTTCAAATGTGTGTTTGAAAAGTTGGTAGCGCTGTGAACTGTGCACTAAATGAGCTCAATCAGAACGCTGAGCCAAACAAAGTTTGACAAACCGGGGCCGGGACCCAAACCCATAACGAGTCCTTTTCCTCTCGAGCTATGTGCGTTAAGTTATTATCAGTGATCTATTGGGCTAAAGGCAACGTGCTTTCCTTCATTTGTGCATCGTATGATAAAAGATGGTGTTGTGTACGCATTTAATTTGTACTTTCTATCAAGAATCATCCATCAATTTTGCATGGGAAGTTAGACTGGATAGCTTTTGATAGTTGGTGGGATGTTTCTTTAGTCGCTTGTGGAACGAACATTATTCCCTAGCGGAGGACGGAGCCGGATAGTCAATATCTCGTATCTCCAGCACATGACAGCGCTGTATGAAAGCCTCGAGAAACGATCTCATCGGTCGGGCAGCACTGCGCCAGCACGGCGATTCAAGAGACCACGGCTCTCGCAGCGCTAGAGAAAGTCTTCTGACCCGGTACATACATCCTCCAGCGATTTACAGCACAGGCCGAAAGAGCTCGGATATAACGTCACATCACAACAGCCGGCAGAGCATATCGCATTCGAGCAACTCCCCATGCTTCAATTTCAACCCAGCCGGAAATCCCAGCACTTAACTCAGCCGGACCAGGTTCGTGCACATTAATTGCTTCCATTAACATATATGCATGAGGCACTCTGGTATTTTGCATTTTACGTCGGATTCTCATTATAATGTTCCTCCTAAAATCGATGTCCCGACAACGAGCCCAGGAAATACGCTGTCACTGACAGACGCCTTCGCATTTCAGCTTTCGCTTTATCATCTAAACCCTATTAAAACTACGTGGAACTCGACGAACGACACCAATTCTTAAACCGAAACTTTCCAATGGGAGCTTTGACCCAAAGGAGATTATCGATAAACGGCCATTAACACCTGACTGGCTGCCGGGTCGTCCCTCCTCCCACCCTCCTCTGCCCCAGTCTCCCATCCCACCCCGGCTCCCGCCGTCGGCTGACCCACCTCTGCCATCTGCGCCACCAGGCTGCTGCTGGCGGGGTCGGCCCCGCCCGCCCCGGCGCCCGCCGCCGGCCGCGCCGCCCCCGCCGACAGCCCGTTGGCGGGGCCGGCCGGCCGTCGGCGGTCCAGTTTGCGCTTCAGCTGTGCGAAGGCCTCGCGGGTTCTGCGGGCCTCCTCCTCCCGGTTGGAGAGCGGCCGCTCCTTGGGGCCGGACACCGGCGGTCGGTCCCGGTCAGAGCCGGAGGCTGCGCCCCGGCCCACGGACCGCGGCGAGCCAGACCTGCAGAGGCGACAACGGGAGACCGTCAGAGGGGGCTGACACGGGCTGAATGTATACAGGAGCACGAACAAACGAATCTGATCGTAAGTATCGTAACGAAGGGTCTGATACAAAATGGCAAAATGATGTTCACGGATTCTGTCAACACATAATACAGTTCACGTAACTTGGCAATCAAATGAAATGGCACCCTAGTCTTACTACACTACCAACAGCTTCATAGGCAGCAATCAGCTTATCATCCCGCGTCCCGCCCCTTTACAGGCATATACACAGTAACGATGTAGAAACAATCCCTCCACCCTCCCCACCACTGAGATTTCCGCCGTAGTTACCTGGAGGAGGCGGCGGACCCGGAGCGGGATCCGGACCCGGACTCGGAGCCGGACTCGGATCCGGAGCCGGACGCCGATCTGGACCGGGACCGGGATCCGGCCGGTGACCAGGCTGCCGACGGTACAGGCGTGGGGGACGTGACGCGGGGGGTGCTACCGGCCGTCTCTGCAGCCGGCGCCGCCTCCGTCTCCGCGGGCGCGGCCGACTCCTCGCCAGGAGCGGGGTCCGCAGCGGGGTGCGCCGGTGGAGAGCCGGCTGCTATGGGCACCTCCCGTGGCTGAGAGAGCCGCCTCTCCGGCGAGTCCCCGCCGGTCAGGTCACTGAGGAGCGGAGATACAGGTCAGGTCAGGTCGCCAGACAAACCAATTACGTAATTCAGAAAGACACAATATCTACCATGGTACCAGCTTTGTCTCGACCCACACATCACCATCAGGGCAGATACGAAACATTGAGACGGCCCGCTCTCCAGGTTGGTATGCGTGATTCGGTCAGGAGATGTAAAAAAGCCCGACCCTTACCCTACCTCTGGCTGAGCAGGGTCCCCACAGCTCCAAAGTACACTCTTTCCGAGCTGCTCGTCACACTCACATCACATCGCCAGACGGAGCGACGACCGGCGCCGGGCTGACAGCCACCTCCGAGATGGACGGCTCACGGTCCAGGCGGGCGGTCGAGCGACTGCGGGACCTGGCAGCGGCGTCATACCAGTGTTAACGGAGGGCCCCAGCGGACGGTCAGCCACTCAGCGAGGCAGTCAGCGAAACAAGAGCGCTACGGGCGGCCGTATGGACTATCCAAGTGACAGCAGGCGGGCTCGAGAATGTTGCACGAAAAGGTAGTATGATTGATGGGAGAATAAAGGCATGCCTGACTGATAGGCTTCAGGACTGTACCTGGACGCTAGAGTACACTAACATATCTAGTTACGAGTACTTAAACATTAATGGTTTGATATTGAGAAAGAGTACAGCCCAGACAGTACACGAAATGACAGCCTTGCAAAGTACTCATTACCGAGCTAATACGGAATTATTCAATTCATCAAGCGCTTTTCCCTTAGCAGTAACGTACGTGGTACGTACCTCTTTGATCGTTTGCTCTTCTTTGACTTGTGCTTATGTCTCTTTGATGATCGCGATCTCTTCCGCTTGCTTCGTGCCGGAGATCTAAAAATGAAACATAAAACGGATATGTAAGCGATCCAACTAACTCACCGACTCCAAAAACGACGCCAAAATAAGGCGGGTCAGTCGCCCGCGTATTGTATGTATTGTAAGCATTGTATAAGTATTGTATGTATTGTACTGCAGCGCACACATCGTGGCAAGCCGATCCATCCGAAATGACTATTATGGTCAGTCAGGCTCGGTTCACTAGGAACAGTCACCCCAGGAGTAATGGCGAGGGTAGGACGACCACCTACCGTGACGGTTCACGTCGGGCCGACCGTCGCCAGCGCGACTCCTCCTCCGCCGGTGTGATCTCGGACGACAGCAGTCTGCCGGCAGCGGGGGACACAGCCAGTGGTCAGTCAGTCGGGTCACGCCACACGGACACGGACATTTAACTGCATCTCAGTTTAAACAAATATGATGGAGCAGTTACTTGAAACTAGAAATTGAATTCGGCCTAGCCCTTTTCACTTTCCTACCTTTTGTAGGAGGCCGGCGGGCTGCGCGGCCTCTTCTTGTGTTTCTTGTGCCGGCGCGGCGAGCGGGAGCGGACGGGAGAGAGGGACGCCGGTCGCTCCTGCTCGCTGCCCGAGTCGCCCTGTCCCCGTCGCCGCCGGTGTGAGGAGCGCTTCTTGTGCCTCCTCCGGTGGCGGCGCTCCTCCCTGCGCTCCCGGCTGTCCGCTCGCCGCCGGCTGCCGCTGGGCTCCCTGCTCTCCGCGCGCCGCCTTCTGTGAGCAGGGCTGTCCCGACTGTCCCGTCTGCTCAGAGCGGGGCTGTCCCGACCGTGTCGTTTACTGGGCACGGGACTGTCCCGACCGTGTCGTTTACTGGGCGCGGGACTGTCCCGACCGTGTCGTTTACTGGGCGCGGGACTGTTCCGACTGTGCCGTTTACTGAGCACGGGACTGTCCCGACTGTGCCGTTTATTGGGCGCGGGACTGCCACGGCTTTCTCTCTTGCTCGCACTCCGATCCCTCTTGTCCCGTTTGCTGACGCTGCGACTCCGGCTGTCCCGTTTACCGACGCTCCGGTCGCGGCTGTCTCGCCTGCTGACGTTCCGGTCCCGGCTGGTGTGCCGTCCCGTTTCGGGGCTGCTGTCCCGCCGGCTGGCGGGGCTGCTGAGACGACTGTCGGAGCCGTCACCGTCGGCACTGGCGCCACTGCCGGGCGGCAGCTCCGGAACAGAGTGGGGCGAGTCTGCGGACAGGGGTGGAACGTCACAGTCAGAAACCGGTGACATCAGACAGTAGAAAATGGATTAGCGACATCCTTTAAAATAACGCTGCCTTACTTACATCACAATATAGCGAACCGAATCACTACCTGAAAATATCGTCGTGCCCGCAGCTTTTGCAGTCCACTCACCGGAGTCCACCAGCTTGTACTTGTCCAGATCCGCCTCGTCCCCCGAGTCTTCCTCTTCCTCCTCTGTCTGCGCTCGGGAGGGAGGACCTGCCGGCGGTGACGGCGGCACGCGACCCTCCGGCGCGGCCGGCGGGTCCGAGCCGCCTCCCGGGTCCTCCTCAGAGCCGGACGGCAGCGGACCCGGTGGCAGCTGGGGACCTGGAGAGGGAGGCCCTGGTCAGAAATGAGCGACATCGGTAATATAGACTTGCATGCAATGAAATAGTTTTTCCCATACCTGCTACATTGCATGATTAAATCGAGACATCCAGGCATTTTAATGGCACGTGCACTGTACCACACTTTTCAAAGTTTAATGCAGTGCTTTAATATTGCCAGCCGTGTGGTTCAAGGGGTGTGGTTAAATATATTCCTGCCCGGGGCCGGGATGATTCAATAAATGTCACCGAGGTTTTTTAGCGAAAACTCCGAGGGCCGTTAGGCCCGAGGTGCTTTTCGCTAAAAAAGCGAGGTGACATTTATTGAATTCTCGGCCTTAGGGCTGGAAGGTGTTTCCCATACCTGCCAAAAAGCTCACAACTATAATTGATAGTGACGTCAGCAGCCGTGTGGTTCAACGCGTTTAACCACACCCCTTGAACCACACGGCTGGCAATATTAAAGCACTGCATTAAACTTTGAAAAGTGTGGTACAGTGCACGTGCCATTAAAATGCCTGGATGTCTCGATTTAATCATGCAATGTAGCAGGTATGGGAAAACGCGTTGAACCACACGGCTGCTGCTGCTGACGTCACTATCAATTATAGTTGTGAGCTTTTTGGCAGGTATGGGAAACACCTTCCAGCCCTAAGGCCGGGAATTCAATAAATGTCACCTCGCTTGTTTAGCGAAAAGCACCTCGGCCCTCGGGCCTAACGGCCCTCGGAGTTTTCGCTAAAAAACCTCGGTGACATTTATTGAATCATCCCGGCGCCGGGCAGGAATATATTTACACAGATGGTATTTGACCGAATTATAGCTAGTGAATCAACAGCGTTTGAGCATGTTAGCCATCACGGCGTCGGTTATCATGAGTTCCCGTTACCTATGACTGGCTGTTTGATCTTGTCCACGTCCTGCCGGAGTTTGGCCAGGAACTGGGCGGCGCGCCGTTTGCGGTCCATCTGGATCTCGTCCCTGCCGACTCCCGGCGCGGGCGCGACAATCGGCACCTGTCGAGACTGCCGTTTGGTCGGCTCGGGACGCGCCGCCGCTGCCGCTGCTGCCGGTGCTGGTGCTGGTGCTGGGGTCACCGCAACGGCCGCAGCAGCTGAAAACAAGTAAAAGATGTCAGCCGCCAGAACTCGAAGACCAACAAACATGCATGCAAGGCTCGTTAGTGTCGCATCCGTCGCACCTTCACCAAACTCATTGTTCTGTGCTCACATCTCAGGCAACTATTCTCCAGGTCGTACCTTTGTCCGGTCGCGAGCCGCCGTTGGCCTCCGCGGTGGCGCCGGCCGCGGCGGCCGCTGGTGAGGTCTGCGCGCCTCCCTCCTCTCCCTCCTCGTCCTCACTCTCCTCCAGAGGCAGAGCGCTGCGCTCCAGCGGCGCAGACTCCTTCTCAGACTTGGCGCGGATCGAGAACGACACCGGCACTGGATCGAACGAAAAAGAATAAATTCGGCACATATAATTCCTCAGCGCAGAAAACGATTAGCAATGTGATTCATAGCATGCTCAAAAATAAGAAAACAAAGCAGGTGATAGCATTTGTCACACAGCTAACAAAATAACCAGGCTTTGAACTGATGAAAAGCACCATTGCCAACTACGTAGAAAAATACACAATTTTCTCAAGTTCAGGAAAAAAATAACGAATTCACCGAAATACGAACAACAGTATTTTTTTGTAATATCACTAACCGGGTTTGTTTCCCTTGTCCTCAGTAGTTTTGGCTGCGGCCGGTGCTGCCGTTGTCGCCGCCGGCTTTGACTTTCCCAGGTCCCGTTCATACTGCTCTAATTTGTGGCGGTAGTAGGCGTGATGGGCGTGCGAGTCGCGCAGGAAACTGAACCGCTCGTCGCCTGGAAAACAGTTCGGGAGCAGACGCCATAGAGGTGTTATATTGCAAGCAGGGTCAGATCACACATCTACATTTCCTTATTACTTGGTGTTAAAAAAGAGGCATCAAACGATTACAAATGCAAAATACGCAGCACATGGCGGGAATCGTTGTGCAGCCGCCGTTACATCGTACGCCACTCACCGCGTCCCATCACGATGCCCTCGAAATCTCGGCCGTTCTTGGCCACATAGCTGGCCATTTTGTCGATGATCAGTTTGACGTCGGCCGGCGGCAGGGCGGGGGCGGGGGCGGTGGTGGCGGGGGCGGTCCGCCCGGCCGCCTCCCGAGGACCGGCAGCGGCGGCCGGCGAGCCCGCGCGGCCCGCTGACGAGTCGGCGGCGGCGGCGGAGGGGGCGGCGGCGGGCACAGGGCTGGAGGTGCCGCTGCCGGTCGGACTGTCGGCAGCCTGGCGCGACGAGCGGATGTTCTTGACGAGTCGCTGGTAGGCGCAGTTGGCGGACGGCTGGTACATGCCGTCCGCCCGACCCGGAGCCTGGCCGTGGGCACAGAGGTGGTGCGGCGTTAGAAATTTTGATAATCATATGTTTGTCCCTAGTAAAAAAGTTATGTCCCTTATCAAGAGTACAACGCCTCACAGTATGTGACAACGCACAATGACATAGACTAAGCACTTTCCCCATACTTTTTTGTTAAATCCCTAGACAAATTGCATCAGAAACCCAATGCACGCACATATTTTAAAAAAAAAATGTAGAAAATGATGAGAGAGTGCAGCAACAGCTCCGTATTTAAAGAAGACTTGGCCACAACCCAACCTTGGCTCTGACTCACAATGTCCGGGCGACTGAGGTTCAGCGCCGGGTGAAGGTACGCCTCATTCTCTTCCTCTTCTGAAACAGAAAACAAAGGCTTGACAATCACACAAAACTACACCGACAGCACTACGCAAACATCGAAACAACGCCATGCCCAACAGTAAAATGCATATCGCATATGTTCACATCACATGCATGAAAGCTTCGCATTCATTAAAGTAAAACTATCCGCCTGCACCGCTCGCGCGCGCCGCCCGGAGCCGCCGCCACGTACCGTTGGGTTTCGGCGCGCCGATGGTGTACCGCCCCGCCTTGATCATCACCACCATGTGTCGAAAGAACGGCTGAAGCGGGTCGTCGAACGCCAGAAAGTCGAACATGGCGTTCTCAGACTGTTTGGCCTTGATGAGGATCTCCATCTGCGGCCCCTGACGCGCCACAAACAGCGCCGTCCGCTCGATGATGTCCGCGTGCCGCCGCGTCGCCGGCTGCCGGGCACCGTCAGAAGTTACACAGTGCCCGGTGCCGAGCGGAGGGGAGGGACGCAGACTGAAGGTTTGCTGCTCAAAGCCAGGATTGCCGTATTAGGGAACCTCTTTGTCGTGTTAAAGCTTAGCAACTGCGTCAACGGTTTTACCGCGATGGTTTAGGAGATCAGGGACACAGTAATTGGTGTTTCCAGCGCAATGCCACAGCCCCGGTCCCCGTTTTCCGGCCCAGCCCCACCTGCGCCATGTCAGCGGGCACGTTAAGCGACGTGGGCGGCTCGTAGGGCTCGTCGTCCACGGCCGGGATAGCGGCGGCAGCAGCCACCGCCTCCGGGGCAGCCCCGGCGCCGCCGGCCGCCGGCGCAGCGCCGTAGCTGAACCCGATCTGGTTGTAGCGGCCCGAGTCGCCGGCCAGCGACTGAAGACGCTTCCACTCCTCCTCTGCCAGAGTCGGGGACAGGCCGGAGGGCGACGGTCATTCAGAGGCTAATAAGCGCCGCCCCAGATAATATGCATTGCAGGAACAGTTGTTTATGTCATACAAAACAACAAAAATTACGAGAGCGGAAGACCTTTGAAGGCTTGCAAACACGCCATTTACGTTACGCAGCAGGCGAACGAGATAGCTATAACCGACTGTTATAGGGCTAAACGGGCCAGTAATCTGTTAGCCGTCAGTGTCAGTCGTCAAGCCTGTGGCCAGCACTGACCTTCGAGCATGCGCTCCTCGTCCTCGTCCTTGTAAAGGGCCATGTAGCGCTCCTGGTCGACCACCTCCTCCAGTTTGCGCTCGCGCTCGGTGAGCCCCTGCCAGCGGTCGTAGCCGCCGGGCGGCGGCTCGTGCGGCCGCAGGTCGGAGAGAGCGCCACGCCCGTCATACCTGCAGCAGAGGCGGCGCGTCACACGACAGCCGGAAGGGAAGGCGCCGCGCGCAGACGGGTGACGGAGGGGGACACATGGTACAGAGACAGCGGTCGGGACGCACCGCCGGGGGTCAGCTGGGTATGTACAGGGATAACCGGGTGGCCAGGGATAGCAGCACTGAGGAAAAGCAGCGATCGTTTAGACCGAAATACGGTCCCTGTTCGTCCCGACAACGCGCTGAAAACGGATGCAGTCAAAGTCAATCAGAAAATATGCTAGCAGTTGCCTGCGGCGGTCGGTAGTAGCCAAGCGTGTACGAATGACATGATAAATCGCAAAATAGGTAATTGTCAAATCGATCATTAGATAGCAAGCAAAAAAACCATACTGGCCACTCAAAAGTAAAATAGCATTTTCTAATAGGTACCTTGAAGTTTGATAAGAAACAGCTACTTACCAATGGAAGACATGCGACATGACATTTGTCTACAAGTATGAGTGTGTTGTTTACAGAAAACAACAAGTTGTCGAGCAGCTGAAAATGTTTTAAGCAAAACTGTTATGCTTACTCAGTTAACAGATAATGACCAAAGACAAACCAAATTATACTTCTTACAATGCCATTTGCTCAATCATTAGCAGTGATTCAACTGGGTCACATCGTTTAGATGGAAATGCAGCCTGAACATGTGGGGACTAAGTGGGATGAGTAACAAGTTCTGAAGAACAGACGCTATAATCATCCAGCAATGAAATGGTGTTACAAAATTCGCCTATCTTAAGCCTACTTCCTCCCATACTTACCGAAGATACCCTCATACTTACCGTCCTTACCCATACTACACCCCTGCGCCCTGCCTCAGCAGGCCTGCCGCTCCTCAGGTCGGCGCTGTAAAGGCTGTGCAGGATCGGTACGCAGACTGTGGACAGTGCACGCCTCCCGCGGTCAGAACATCACAACAGCTCAGTCAGGTACGAACCTAAGCCGGCATGGACCGCCAGCACCGTCTCTCCCGCTCGCTCAGAGCGCGGCCGCAGGCCAATGAAGCTCGCACCAGCGCACACCACATGATAATCGCGGCATACTTCTTCGGCAGCGCGGCACTTGTGTTAGGAGGTGGTGAGGGAAACCAACGGACCTGTCAATCTTCAATGTTTCGTCCGCCATCCAGGGTATGAGGTGTTTGCCGCTGTCGATGAACAGCGCCTTCTCGTCGTCCCTGAACAGCTTGCAGGCGTATCCGAAGACTAGCAGCTCTTCTTCGCGCCCTTTCTCCGCTGGCACCTCCATGGTCGCGCCCTCAGTGGTGTACAGGCTGACAGTCACAGTCCAGCAGAAACAGTGTGTCCCTGAAAACCAGACAGAATATTTCAGTATTTGATCAACTTGGATGTATCTTGCATGTGACCTGCAATTCCATTGATATATATCGATGGAGCACCTATAGATGCCATCAGAAATGTTATGTTATCGACAAAAATATCCTTCAAAGTCCAACAACTGGGACATTCAGGTTTTCATCATAGGTAGCTATGTGATAACAATGTATTCTAGTCCCTATATATCAAACATCCCACTATAGATTCAAGTACCTAAATGCTTTTGAAGCCCAGATTTTTAGCCTTAAGATTGTTCAGACATCAGTGGCTATTTTCACTGGCATAACTGTCAGCTTGCTTTATTTTCTCAACCTCTCAGCTTGGTCAACAGAAAAATGAAAATTGACTTCACTGTTGTATCCTGGCAAGTGTCTCATCAAAATATTTGGCTCTCCAAGGCCTACATGACCAGAGATGCAACAAACCAGAGTTATTGGAAAGGGCACTGGGCGAGGCTCTTTATGAATTCACTCACTCATAGACCAAGTAACTTATATGCACAGTTTCCTAAGCCTGCATATGATGCTGAGTACCCACTCAGAAATAAATGTTGCACTATTCATATTAGGTATGTTTATGATGATTGAAGATGCCTTATTAGTAATTATAGCCATAATATGTAGGTATTGAGCTCAGAGCTGTGTCTCTACCTGCAGGGTTGGCATTTTTGCCGGCAAAAACTAGTTTATGCCATTTGCCGGTTTAAACCGGTTTTAACCGGCAAAAAGTGGCAAAAACTGGCAAAAACTAAGAAATATCACAATGCTATGCCTGGGCATGGATTTGAACATGAAACATTTTAAGGAGAATTCGGTGAAAGCTTTATGCTTTCAAACAGAAGTGACATTGACCATTGAAATGCTTCATAACTCAGAAACATTTTCATGGGCTTTCCATAAGGAGCTAGTAAGATGCCTTTTGGGGGTGACAAATGAGCCAGTGCAAGGGTGACTGGGTGAGTCCTGCACAATCAGAAGTACGAAGGGGTATCTGCCACTGATATGCGCACGGCACCGCATGGCACCCTACTTACCGTGGCCGTCTTGCCCCACTCTCCCCTACATGGAAATACATTCCGTTGTGGATGTCTACTGACATGCATAGACATTTTAAGCAGGGATAAGTAATGAGGCAGCTTCAGAATGTTTAGTGCATCTGTATAACTACCAGAAATGCATTTGTGCATTTCAAATCCATTCCTAACTAGAAAAGTCGGTTTGGCCATCTGAGTTTTAGCCAGTTTTTGCCAGTTCTTGCCACCAGGGTTTCTGCCAGCCGGTTTAAACCGGTTAAAACCACTGGCAAAAACCAGTTTTTGCCACCCCCTGCCAACCCTGTCTACCTGAGACTGCAAATCTTTTAATCAGGGTTCTTACAATACAAACTCCTTTAATATTTTCTAACCTCATTGTAGGCTCAGAATAGGAATGGGAACCCAACCAACCAGGTGAGTTAATGAGAGATGTCAAACCTCGCATGGCAGAACTTTCTGCTGGTTGTGGAATAGGCCTCAGGGCACTGGGCATTAGTAGAGCAGACATCACACAAAAGTTTTCCAACCAAGAAGATCATTGCACTGTAGGTTTGTAGGTTTGTAGGTTAGATTAGGTTAGGTCAGGTTAAGTTAGGTTTGTTTTAGCTTAGTTAGAAAGAAGCATCTCCAGGCATAGCTCCTCTCCTTAATTGGAAAACCTTCATGTGACAACTGTGACGTCTGTTCTACTACTGCTGCCCCATGAATGTGCACTAATTTTTATTGAATTGGCCATAGACTATGATCAAAATTGGTCATAGTCTATGTCCAATTTTGATTTATGCATGCAAATAGGAACTTGATTTCTTTTTAATAATTTTTCTTAATCCAGGACAAATTTGTACTTGTTCAGAAAAGGTGAGATCTAAAATTGTGGTGCCCTTGATACAGATATGAAACAGCAGAAATTGTAGGCTCTAGGTTGTAGGTTATTAGGTTGCAGGTGGTGTTAGGTTGTAGATTTGTAGATTTCAGGTTGTAGGTTAGTAGATTTATATGTTGGTAGCCGGTAGGCTGTAGGTTTGTGTGTTTTAGGAACGTAAGTAGGTAAGGTTAGGTCAGCTTTGATTATGTTTTCCTTGTAGTAGTACCACATATAACTATCATGTTTGGATTCTGGATGTCAAATAATGTAAGAATATGCAAAATTTATGTTTTAAAAGCAAAGGGGACTTTTTCTGAACAATTGTCAACAAGTCAGCATCCTGGACAAATCTTTGAATGCATGACTGTCTTCAATCCAGTCGGGGGAGGTTTGGTCAATCGTTGTCATTTTTAGCACGTGCTATTTTTGTCACACGTGCTAAAAATGACAACGATTCTGCTATTTTTGACAACGATGAGGCCGATTTCACTCCTCAGCGAGGAAATGAAGATTTTGGAAAGATAAACACTGATTTTGGAAAAGAAGTGCTGCCACCTGGTGCAAGACGAAGAATCCAGCTTTAATATGCCTGTTATTTGTATGGTAGTTTGTTTTGTGGCCTGAAGTTGGAACTTAAAATTGAAGCATCCGAAAATGATCGATATTGATCGAAAACATGATGTTGATGAAAAAAATAATATTTTAAGTTGAGAGAGGAGGCCATTTTATCCAGATGCAGTAGTTTACTTCTTGAAATTATTTTTGCTAATGACGGCTGCTAATTATCCCTCATTACATGGCAGTCGTCGTAAGCAAAAATAATTTCAAGAAGTAAACCACCGCATCTGGATAAAATGGCCTCCTCTCTCAACTTAACATATTATTTTTTTCATCAACATCATGATTTCGATCAATATCGATCATTTTCGGATGCTTCAATTTAAAGTTCCAACTTCGGGCCACAAAAAAGGGTATACTTCACAGAGCTGGGCATTGCGCAACTTAAGTCCGCAACTCCGCAACTCCGCAACTTGCGGACTACCCTCTTGGTAGCGGAGTTACGGATCGGCTACCGAGCCCAAAAAAGTTGCGGAGTTGCGAGTTGCGGAAGCGAAAAATTCTAAAGCGCAACCGCTACCGGGGCCGCTACCGCCGCGCTGGTGGGGGCGCCACTGTACTCTTTGCACTCCACTACACACTGCACGTGTTTCCAGGCTAGTTTTTGAAGCTGATTTCGAATTTGATGACCGTTTGAACATTTACGAAGTAGTTTTAGTGCCTTAGTAACATGTTACGAGGCTTTCAGTGGTGGTTGACACTGGATAGGCGGTAGGACGCCTACTGGTTGACCTGACCTGACCAGGCCCAAATGCATGAAGACGTCATCTTTGATCAAAACCAACATGAAATTTGTTATCAGCGCCCCCCCCCCCCAAAAAAGCATAAAAGCTTCACTTTACGGAGTTCTAGCAGGTTCGATTTTCCCGACTTTTGGGTCATTAACCTGGCCTGGAAGGTCAACCAATGACCTATGACCTTAAAATTGGGTATCATCGGCTTCCTCTCGTCACGGGCAACACGCTCGTTTTTTTTTTCCGCGAAGAGCTCTAGCTCGATCAGGGGTCGAACGGCAGGGGGGGAGGGGGTCCAACCGACGCACACGTTAGACGCTGTAAAACACCGCACACAGCGAGGGTTAAGTCAAATGTTATGGTCGCCAGCACGGGGGCGGGGGGGGGGTGTGTTTGGACACCCCTCCGTAAGGTTTTCCGCAAATATATAAAAGAGGCGGTGGCAGCGCGGCTGTTTTCGACACTGCTATTAACACATCCTTTCCACACATTGTATCAACATGTCAGACCCAGGTCACCTCAGGTCAGGTCACCGGGTCAAGTCAAGGGACCCAATCTCCGGAAAAAAAATTAAACACCCGCCCTAGCAATACAGGGCAATATAGCAATATAGATACACCTATTGACCGATCACTTTGAAACTGTCTGCAAGTGACAAGGGTAACAAGATATACCTAGGTACAAAGTGTATTTTTTCATATTTTTTTATATTTGTGACAGGTAAGGTCAACTGTGTGACCTCTCCATTATAAGTCAATGGGAGAAAATATAACTCGTCCGGATTTGCGGCAAAATGATCCCAAACAACTAAAACATGCAAAGAGTAGCACTGGCAGGTCATTTACGTCGACTGGTGTCGCAATGACTTGCGCATTGAGCATTATAGGTCAGACATCATCAGAGGTCACCAACAGTCAGGTCACCAACAGAGGTCAACCAAAGGTACTACCTGTCAGACATAACACTGCACAGGACTAAAACTGATAAAACATAGGAACCTAATAGAGGTTGGTAGCGGAGTTGCGGAGTTGCGGAGTTGCGAGTTGCGGTTTTACGATCTGCAAAATAGTTTCGGAGTTGCGATTGCGCTTTGGGTACCGTAGGTTGCGGAAGGTAGCGGTAGCGGTTTCCAAATTTCGGTAGCGATGCCCACCTCTGATACTTCAACGTTGGACTACCATACAAACAACGGCCATATTAAAGCTGGTTTCTTCTTCTTGCACCAGGTGGCAGCACTTCTTTTCCAAAATCAGTGCTTGTATTTCCAAAATCGTGATTTCCTCGCTGAGGAGTGAAATCGGCTTCATCGTTGCTAAAAATAGCTGATAGCGTTGTCATTTTTAGCACATGGTTGCCAAAAATGGCATGTGCTAAAAATGACAACCATTGACCAAACCTCCCCCAACTGAATCAGAGTAAATGGAATAAAGCTAACATAGCTGACCTGGCCTAACCTAAACTGACAAGTTTTAACCCTCATTTGTGATTTGACCATGTGCAGAAGAAGAAAATACATTAAGTAACGTGATGGAATATTTGCGGCAGCAAACATTAACCTGATTATCTTCACAAAGTGTTTGCTCACATGGCAATATTTCATTGAACATATGTATGTTGCAGTTTACATCCTGAATAATAAAATTTAAAAAAGCAAAAAACACAAAGAATGTAAAATGATTCTCGTTCATACTTTGGCGCATGCGCGACATATACGAACGACACTAAAACCAGTAATATCACAAAAAGTGCGCATGCTATTAACATATAATAGCTTTGAATAACAAGACATTCACGCTGTCTCATATCTACCGTAAATCTGTTTTTACCAACCTCAGATGATTCGCCACAGCTTAGCACCGAGATCCACACACACTGGCCCTATATACCTGCTATATACGGCCTTGCACATTGGAGTCTGAGCGTACCACAAGCTAATAATATTAAATCCAAAATGAAAATAACAGCTTCAGGTGAATAATTACGTCACTAGTTCTGCAGACGCTTTTGCATCATGGTCCGTGCAGTATCATCACGTGTCGTGTTGGTTGACTTGAAAAGTATGAAAACAAGTTGGTTCAGACTTCAGAGCTTTTTTATCATAAACTGCTTTATTTTACTTATTTTTCACTCAAAGCTACAAAAGCGGCCAGTGAGCCCGATGACCTCCCGCCCCGTAGGTAGTTGATCATTCCGTATACACGCGTATCGTTCAATCGTTCTCATTCCGCAGACACAGGTATCTGTACACCCTCACCCCGACGCGTATCGTCCCATCGACCTTCTACATATATGCCCTAGTGCCATCGTCCCAGGACCTATACAAAAAAGAGCTACCGTGCTGCTTTCAATCTGTCTAGCTAGGCTGTGTGCAGTGATTCATCAGCACCACTACAAAAATCGCTTGCCTATCTCCGTGCTTCGGAGACGTCCTTTGATTCTGGTAGAGTAGAAAAGTTCAGAAGCTTTCGTGTGTATTATGAAGAGTAGGATGACAAAACATGTGATCCCAATGCGACTCTGATCTAAATGCTGACAAAATGTCATCTACATCGGCGCGAGGGTAACGTGCCTGCGTCAGCCCTTTGCTCAAATGAACAGGTGATAAAGTGGGTAAGACCACAATCACAAATATGCTGTCCAATGCCGTGAAGCGTCGACGAAACGGTGAACCATCTGTGCCACTTTCAAAGGCACGCCTGCTGGTGTGAGTGGTGTCTGCAAGAAAGGCAGAATGCCCCACTCCATCGAACAGCCAGTTTTGTCGCCTTGACACATCTGCTGTTGTTCTCGCACATCGGAAAAGAGTGCGATACATCACCAAAGCAGACAGACAGTCGACTGACCGACACCGAATCACGCAACGTCGCGACGCATTACCGGCATCCTTATCCGCGCATCTCGCAGTACGCAAACCTAGGTGACGCTCTACTGGTCAGCAAGCGAGGACAAAGCCCGCCCCGGTGCTCGAACGACCAATGACTGATTCCGGCCGCTGGCAGCTACTTCGCGGCACTGCAGCCCACCGATCAGGCCCACAGCACCGGGCGGCGGCGGCGGCGGCGCTCAGCGGCGGTCGCGGTGCCGACGCTCGCGGCTGCGCTCACGCCGGCTGGACGTGTGTCGCAGGAACTCCTCAACGGAGCGGTCGTACTCGGACATGCGGCGCTCGGCGCGGCTGGGCGCGGCCGGCGGCGGCGGCACGAACTCGGGCAGCGGCGGTCCGTCGTAGTAGCGCGGCGGCGCCAGCGGGTCGAACAGAGCCGGCGGCGGGTACGGCAGCGGCGGCAGCGGGCCGCCGCGCGCCGCCAGCTCACGCATCAGCTCCGGGTAGATGCGCGGCACCGGCTCGCGCGGCGGGTAACGAACCGGCGAGCGCTCGTGTGGCGGCGGCCGCTCGCGCGCGTACGGGTGGTAGCGCGGCGGTCCCGAGTCGCGGCGCGGCGGCGGCCGAGGGTAGTGGTCCTCGTAACGCGGCCGCCGGCTAGGCAGCCGCGGCGGTTCGCGGGGCGGCGCGCGGGGCCCGCCCCGGCCGCGGAACCCACCGCGCTCGCGGAAGTCGCGGCGGGCGCGGCGCACCGGGATGGGTGCCGGCATGGTGAGCGGCTTGCTCGTCTTGACGGTGCGGCTGGCGCGTTTCGAGTCCAGCAGGATCGGGTTCATGTCGATGGTGAGATCACGGGCGAAGCGGCGGCACAGCTCCTCGGCGACTCGCGGCTCCACCTCCTGGCCGTCGCGGCCGATTTTCACCGGCTTCCCGTTGTTCCACGGGTTGTACAGGTGCGCTGTCTTGGGGAACGGCAGCTCGTTGCGGTTGATCCAGGCGACGCGGAACACGCCACCGAGCGCTCGCGCCGGTAGTCCCGGTGGCAGCACCCAGTTGACGGGAGACAGGTCGCGGCGCGACTCGTTAGAGATGCGGCAGAACCCGCAGAAGCGGCCGCTCTCCTTCACTGAGAATATAAGCAGCACGTTGCGGGACTCGCGGAACGCCTGGTTCAGTTTGGCCTCGTTCTGCGGGGGCGTGCTCCATACACCGCGCGCCTTGGCCAGCGTCACGTTCTCCTCGTTGTTGGATTTGATGATGAAGAAGCGCGCGTCACGGAACAAGTAGTTGAGCTTGGTGAGGTAGCTCTCGCGGCTGCCGGAGGTGGCGCCGGCCGCGGCAGCCGTCTGCCCATTGGTCGTCTCCTCGGCGGCGGCTGTGGCGGCTGTGGCGGCGGCCGGTGGCGCGCTCTTGGCCTCCCTCTCGTCCTCGGAGGTGACGCTCGGCTCGGAGCCGTCCTCGTCCACGTCCACGCTGAGCTCCGAGTGGAGCGACTTGGACGAGCCGCTGCTCACCTCCGAGCGCGTGTCGTAGTTATCGTCGGCGGCGGGCGCGGCTGTAGCGGCCGGCGGCTCTCCGCCCGTCTCCTCCGACACGGGGTCTGCAGCAGCGTCCACCTCCATGGCCGCTCACCAGGACAGCTGCTCTGTAAGGGGCGGGCGGAGGGGGGACCTTAGTCGGCGGGCGGGGATATCGGCGGACTAGGAGGGTGCATCCCACACGGACAGATGGTTCGGAGGAGGAGCATCCTCGGAATCGGCAGCTCTGGATTCCATTGGTATTGGAAGCCTCGATTAAGAAATTTCTTTAGACGAGCCAGCTGTGATAAATACGATGCAAATCGAGGCGCAAAAAAGGTCTTATTTCAGCAATAAGGTTACCTACCATAATGGTGTAAGGCAAGAAAAGGATGAGGAACGATTTGTTAAACGGTCCTACTGAATTGTCTTTTAAACCTTCTGAGAATTGTTGGATTAGAAGTTAGTGCACCGTACATTTGTCGGAGTAGTGATTTAGGTTATTTATTATAAGCTAGAGAGAAACCTGTAAAAGAAACACTGAAAGCAGAAATTTTGACGTCGCAAAGCCATTCAGAGTAATATCCTGCTGACATTAGGTAAAAGTGTAGAGTATGATGCGTTCAGCTGATGAGCATATATTGTTGGTTTTTAATTGACATCCCTACGTCATATTTTTAGTTTTTAAAAAAATCAGTTTAATGTTTTGTCTAGTTCCACTTACTTACCTGCGCCTCTGAAAGAAAGTATGTTCATGAGCAGCATAAGACAAGCAATGCAAACACTGATCAAATGAAGTTGTTTTTCAGAAAATCAAAATGTAGGAAAAAGCAAAACTATTATAGAACCTCATTTCAGCAGCTATTGAACACAGAAAAGGAAGTTGTTAAACTTAACAGGACAAACATTTGCATATGCCATAGACAATAGACAGCACAGACGAAATGCCTGCTGTCAAGGTCGCCTTGCATTTAGGTACTTAAGTTGAGTACATTGAAACATAGCCTTGATTGAAACATTCCTGGATCAAACGTAAAAAGTTCGATTAAGAAATGACCGGTGATACAGCTGGCGAGTTAGTTTTTTACAACTGCAAAAAATATACTTTACAATATCATAAAATAAATCATATGGTAGTAAATGATAACAAGTGGCTTCCAACAAAATAGTGGCAGAATTTGTGAAAGAGGTCACTGGTGCACACATTGTTACAGCCATCGTGTGGTGCGGTCAACAGACACCACCACTCGTCTCCACCGGTCCCAGAGAGTCCGTCCCGGCACTGGGTGAGGCGGCCGGCGTCCACTCGGCGCGGCACACACTGGTGGCGGCGTGCCGTCTCCACTCACTCGCCGCCGCTGGGCGCTAGTCCGACAGTCCCGCGCCGCCGGGCGCCGCCGCCCGGCCGGCATACAGTCCAGCCGCAGCCGGCGCGGGCCGAGCCGGCCAACAGATACGGGTGTGTCGGGGGCGGGGGCCGGCCGGGCGCCCGCGCGGCCACACCGTCCGTCCGTGGTGCGGCCGGCGGCCCCGGCACCCGGTAGCTCGTCCATCACACCCACCCAGACACACACAGCCCGCGACCGTCCCGTCCGACAGTCTCTGCACCACACCGACAGACACACACACAGAGAGAGACGGGGAGAGAGCGGCAGACAGTCCAGTCCTCGGGTGCAGCTGGCTGCAGGGCCGGCCGGGCCCCAGTACCTGCGGAGGGGCGGCCCCAGCCTGCGGTCCCGGCCCAGGCCGAGTGTGCTGCCAACACTCCACTGGTGTGCCGCCGCGGCCCGCCGGTAGCGCGCCTCGCAGGGGAGGCTGAACGGCGGCGGCGCCAGACCGGTCCAGACACTGGCCTCTGAGCAGCTGCTCTTCAGCTGTCAGTCACGGCTTCTGACTCCGTCCGCTGAAAAGAACAAAATTTCTGATCAGGTAACATAATATCAGCAATTGTGTCTTTTCTGTACTGAGTGAATGAACTGCACTCGAGTCACCAGCTGTTTTCTGGCAAACTTTTGATGACATAAGACAGCGATGGTGACAGCCTTTATCGCAACCGAACCAAGAGTCGTCTCACATTTCCTTGGCGTGCTATATTCGTCAGAACTTCTTCGTACTCGTACATATATTCGTCCATCGTATTTCTTCAGCTCCTTAAATAGTCCTCCCAAAATCATGGGTCAAAGGTGGCAAGTAGGGGTGAGTCACAGAACACACGGTAAGCTGATGAGGTGAAATCAGCAAACATTGACCCTCGAACTTGTAGGGGAGGGGGTCGAACGCGGAGGTCTCAGCACAGAACAAAAGGGAGGACCTCGTGCGGTTGGTCGGGCGGCTGAAGGGACTCGATGCTCATTCTGCGCTCTATCTGCTCCGCAATAGTCTATGGCTCCCCAAGCTTCAGTACTTGTTGCGGGCTGCGCCATTTTTCCAGCATCCTGCGCTGCTGAAACAGCTAGATGAGGTCATCAGAGCGGCGATTGAAGAGCTAGTGAATGTCAGATTCAGCGACATGAACTGGGAACAGGCCTTCCTACCTACCGGACTCGGAGGGCTAGGACTGAGGAGAACGGAGGAAGTCGCGCTCCCGAGCTTCATGGCTTCGCTCCACCGCTGCCAGCAGCTGCTACATACCATCCTGCCAACAGGCTTCGCATAAAATCTTAAACGAGCTGAAGCAGGCAGAAGAGTGGCTCGTAAAAGCTGGCGGCAAGATGGCTCCTGCAGACGACACACGCGACCGACAGAAATCCTGGGACGCCCCGATCGCCGAACACCAAAGGGACCGCCTTCTGCTCGCAGCCAACCAATTCGACCGCGCTCGTATCCTAAATAGGCGCAGCGACGCCTGAAAGCGGAGCATGGCTCAGAGCTCTCCCGTCTTCTAGTCTGGGAACCCACCTGGACAATGAGACAGTGAGAATCGCAGTCGCTCTACGTGTCGGCGCCGACGTTTGCAGCGGCGTCCACGCCTGCATGTGCGGCTCGCCTGCCGACGTCAAGGGACATCACGCTCTCACCTGTCAGTTCAGTGCTGGAAGATTACCGCGCCACACAGCTCTGAACAACATAGTCAGACGTGCTCTGCTGACCGCAGGCATACCAGCTCAGCTCGAGCCGTATGGTGTCGACCGGGGCGACGGAAAGAGGCCAGACGGCATGACCATCTACTCATTCTCGCATGGCCGTTGCCTAGTTTGGGATGCGACATGTGTCAATACATTCGCAGACTCAAGACTGGGAGGTGCCGCGCTGAAGTCTGGGGCGGCGGCCAAGAAAGCAGAAGACGGGAAGCGCCGAAAGTACGCCCAGCTCACACAGCGTTTCAGGTTCGAGCCAGTTGCATTGAAACAGACGGCGCCTGTGGTCCTACGACCAAAGCCTTCCTCCAAGAACTTGGTGCTAAAATTGCGGCGGTCAGCGGCGACCAGCGAGAGCTGGAGTGGCATTGGCAGCGACTCTCCATCGCCATTGTGAGAGGTAAAGCCGCTTCAGTTCTCTTGGAGTGTGCCACTGACCCGTCCCAACAACACCTCAGCGCCGAACGCCCCGACAGGGAGAATGCTGAGCAACAGCTGGCGACGACGACCGGCTCGAGGCGGTCTGGCTGCTCGGGTGGTTCCCGGTTAGTGGCAAGCCAGCAGAGGTGGTCGCCGCCGTCGCCGAAGAAGTTGGAGGAGGAGAGCAGGCCCAGGGGTGGAGATCTGTCAAAATGTCAGGGGGGTCCAGGCCGGCCAGATGGAGGCGGGCTGGATGCAGTACCATTGACTTACATAGCAGTAACTCGTTTTCAGGGGGGGTCCTGACCCCCCCCCCCCCCGAGATCTCTACCTCTGAGCAGGGCGCTGTAGCTGTACGGCGGCAAGGCGCACACGGCTCGCGAGCTACAGCTGACCCCAGCCGCAGACTGAGACCCCGACAAGCCCGGCAACGATCCGCTCTACATCGGACTTCCCAATTACGGTAACTCGTGTTACCAGAACGCCACCCTGCAGGCACTGCTAGGACTGTGTCCGTTCTTGAACGACATGATAGCGGTGCACTCGGGCCCGGAGAAAGACAAATGTCACACGCTGCACGCCGTCGCCAAGCTGATGGTGCTCCGCGAGAAGGCCCTCAGCCATTGCGTCTCCAGCCACCTCAGCAACCTGCGTGACGTGTTCGGCGACATCGACCCAGCCTTTCGCGGTACCGAGATGCAGGACGCCAACGAGTTCCTGCTGCGCCTTCTGGACACGATAAAGGACGAGACCGACGCCCGCCAGCCGTCCACAAATCAGTCGGGGGAGGGAGGTTTGGTCAATCGTTGTCATTTTTAGCACGTGCTATTTTTGTCACACGTGCCAAAAATGGCAACGATTCTGCTGTTTTTTACAACGATGAAGCCGATTTCACTCCTCAGCGAGGAAATCACGATTTTGGAAAGATAAGCACTGATTTTCGAAAAGAAGTGCTGCCATCTGGTGCAAGAAGAAGAGGCCAGCTTTAACATGCCCGTTGTTTGTGTGGTAGTTTGTTTTGTGGCCTGAAGTTGGAACTTAAAATTGAAGCATCCGAAAATGATTAATATTGATCGAAAACATGATGTTGATGAAAAAATAATATGTTAGTTGAGAGAGGAGGTCATTTTATCCAGATGTGGTGGTTTACTTCTTGAAATTATTTTTGCTAATTGACGGCCGCGCATCATCCGTCATTGCATGGCGGTCGTCATAAACAAAAATAATTTCCGTTGGCCGTTATTTAAAACTGGTTTGTTCTTCTTGCACCAGGTGGCAGCACTTCTTTTCCAAAATCAGTGCTTGTATTTCCCAAATCGTGATTTCCTCGCTGAGGAGTGTAATCGTCTTCATCGTTGCCAAAAATAGCTGACAGCGTTGTCATTTTTGGCAGGTTGCCAAATATGGCATGTGCTAAAAATGACAACGATTGAGCAAACCTCCCCCGACTGAAATCCCGTCCGAGACAATTTCCAATTCCAAACCATGGAGAACTTTATGTGCATCAGGTGTCACAAAACGGTGCCGAGGCGGCAAGAAAGCATCACCTGGTTTGTGAACATGCCGCGTCGCCAGGGCAGCGAGGTGCCAACGCTGCAGGACGCGCTTCGATTGAGCATACAGCCAGAGCGGCGGGAGTTGCTCTGCCAGCACTGCGGCCATGACAGTGTCGGACTGGAATTCCGGAGGCAGGAGGTTCGCGGCCGGTCAGTTCCAAAGTTGTTACTGCTGCTACGGTGGCGATCCGAGGGCCCAGGCGCGCGCGGTGCGAAGACCACGCGCGCTGCACCAAATGGAACCCAGATGCTCCCGACAGTGCGGACGCCGTGGGGTCGACGCCCTGCGGCCCCGCCGCCCCGAGTGTCTAGTCACCACCAGTCAGCCAGCTGCCCAGGACGCTGATCCTGCAGCTGAACCGATTCTTCGTCCTGGGTGATGAGTCCCAGAAGATCCAGGCCAACGTAAGCATCCCAAAGTACTTGTCGCTCGAGTACGTGTCAGGCGACGTCAAACGGCCGCCAGAGTGGAGATGCAAAAAGTCACTACACGCAACCTGTCCTGTCAGACATTCAGGAGCAGGCCAGGCTGGAGCGACCGCCGGTTCTCTTGTTGCCGCCTCCTGCGCCAGCGCCGCTCTCGCCCACCCCCGCCCCGGCCCCTGCCGCCGCCTTCCCGGCGGCGGAGGCCATCCCCACCCGGACGCCGCCACCAGCGCGGGAGCCCACGCCGCGGGCAGCGGCCAAAGCGCTCCAGTCACTGCTGGCCGCCCTGCTTCCGTCGGTCGCCGGCGAGCTGGTGGCACGGGACGCCGAACCGGACTCGTGGTCGGCGCTGTCCAGCATGGAGGAGGAGGACAGTGGGCTGCAGGGAGCTATCGCGAAGGCGCAGGAGGAGGGCGAATCGGAAGACCTGGCCGCCGAACAGGGGCACCTGTCCGAGTTCCGTGCGGAGGACGACCAGTCGCGGCGCTCGTTGGACCTGGACGGCGACAACTACCGACTTGTGGGCGTGGTCAGCCACCGCGGTGGCGCCACGCATTCGGGCAACTACGTCGCTGACGTGTACAGCGCAGGGCGCGGCCACTGGTTTCACTATGATGATCGCATTGTCAGCTGCGTGCAAGAGTCAGACGTGCTCGGAGACGGCCACCAAACCGCCAGAAACGGTTACATCTTTTACTACCTTCATATCGGCCTGTGCAGCCAGGTGTTAGCCGCTACGGCACTGGGTCATGGGCGGCACAGTTCCTTCCCGACCCCGGCTCCGGCAGCACCCGAGCCGTGGAAGGAATCCCCGGGGGCGGAGTAAAACGGCCAGGTGACCTGTGTGGACCGGGCGCTAATGTCGAACACTTGGGTTTGTCATCATTGTGAGTGTTTGAATATTGTGTATGCATGGGTATGTGAAAGCAGGTAGACCACCATATTTTGATTGATGCGTAACACATGTACCGTGTGTTTACAGCCATGAATATATAATACCTAGCTTGGTAAATCTAAATACATATTACATGAGGTCCACTAAAAAAAGCAACTTGTCCAAGGGAGCATTCAGTAAAATAACAATGTGAAATACACAGCCCTAAATCAGTTGGGGAAACTATGAGGAGCCAAACTGAAACAAAAATTGGATTAGCCAATCAACGGCTGGAGTGGGCGGGGCGATGACCATATATGGTCATTAAATCAGACTTCATCTTTTCAATGAATCCTAGCATTCAAATGAAAAAATAAGGCATAAGAATGTTTTTTGACCACACAAGGCCTACACTCACTCGGTGCATAATTAACTGGCGGCTCTAAATCGCAGAGTTACAACGCAAGGTCAAACAGTGATTGGCAAATATGGCGGATTGAAACAGACGCTCCAAAAATGTAAACAGAGGTACCATGGTTTTAAAATGTTATTATTTTTATTATTTTGTTTATGGTTTTTCTAACTGTGGTTTATTGTAATTAAATTCAATCTTTTACCAATTTTCTTTCAAAACACCAATCCATTTTTTTGAATGGCCAGCTGATCGACGATTGTGATGCCCAAAACCTGCAGAAAAGCCGTTTTCCTATAGCCATATTCGAGTCAATTCGCCGAATTCAATCAAATCACGCTAATTCCCAGGGAAAAATGGAAGCCTTTTCTCTCCGATAAGCGGACGCGATACCACAAGTGCCGGCTTGTTATACCATTTTTCACCCTTAAAAGCGGGGGCTGCATTTATGCCCATTATGGTCATTAAAAGTCAATTTATTGACCAATCAATTTTTTGACATTCGACTCGTAGTTTCCCCAACTGAAATGAGTAATGTAATGATATATTTTCAACTGAATAATACCTCAACCTACTTAAGTACTTTTAAACCTACTTTTGAACGGTACTAGTGAACAGTATAATAACCACTAACTTGCTGGATACCTATGTCAATGTTTTGCTGGATATTAAGCCCTACCTGTTTATATTGAATTTCTTTTTCGCGTTGTTATTACCAATTTATTACAGCACTTTCCTCTTGAGGGGTTCCTCGGTTGGTTCGTTCAAGGCCGTATATTGGCAGGGTATATAGAACGTATATTGGTTCGGTTACTCCTCTTCTTCGATTCAAGGCTTCGATTTCAGTTTTTTTCTCATGCAATAAATATTTTATAACCCCGCGTTCGATGTCTCACGGACGACGAAGATTCAACGCCGTCCGGCCAATCCCGTTCAAGGTCAGCGGGGGCTCGGCTGCGGTTATGGAACGTGATTGGCCGGACGGCATAGAATCTTCGTCGTCCGCTAGACATCGAACGCGGGGTAAAATCGGCGGGGGACCATCAAAGCGTCCAAAGCCGCAGCATCCAAAATACGCAACATCCAAAACCGCAGCGTCCAAAGTACGCAACGTCCAAAATACGTCCAAAATCGGGTATATAGGGAGCATTCACAACGTCCAAAACCGAAACATCCAAAACCGCAACATCCAAAACGTATCATCAAAAAAAGCAGCATCCAAGGACGCATCATCCAAAGTACGCAACATCCAAAGTACGCAACATCCAAAACCGTTAGGTTAGGTTAGGTTAGGCTAGGTTAGGTTAGGTTAGGTTTCCTTATCCCCGGCAGTGGCGGCGCCACCATAGGGGCAGGGGTGGCAGCCTGCCACCCCTGCCGCGAGGTAGGGGTGGCATTGCCACCCCTGAAATATGGGACAAATTTGAAACGTCACCGACGAAGAAGACTCGCATACCTACTGCATAGTCTTAACTATTCGAGGCCCCTTTGACCTTTAAGTCTACACTACATACAGGAGGCCCTTTTACACGTGGGAAGTTATCTAAGAGGCCTTTGCGTTGTCGTACTGCGCTGTGGGTAGCGCGTGGCTGGACGGACGGTCTGTGACAATCTATTGATCTGTGGCTGATCTATTAGAGTGTCCGTCCGAGAGCCGTACGACGGCTGACAGAGCCTGGGGGTCGCGAACTGGTGTGGTAACCGTTACGCCCACCTGGGACGCCCGAGTCGGTACGGCACTTGCGGTGTCGTAACCGGATCGGCGGGAACCAGCAGAACGCTGTTGGACCGGCGGTGAAAGTCGGAACCGAGCACTCGCCCACCAGTGGGGCGTCTGGTCGAGCAGGTCTACCCGCTAAGGCAGCCTGAGCACGAACCAGTGGCAGGGTCCGATCAATGACCGTGGTCCGACCAGGGTGTCAGCGCAATGGCCAGTCAGAGGCGTCTTTAAGGGCGCAGAAGCCCACCTCGGTCGACTGTGGCCAGTGCAACCTAGTCAGGTCGTTTGTGTGAATCTCCGTGTTCTTCCCTCGCCTCAGAGTAGCCGCTCTTCTCCAAATGCCCGAGCCGTTTTCTATGTGTATTTGTCTTGTAGCGAACAGCAGAGTCGAGAAACGAATTGACAATGTCGCTTTTTTTTTTTTTTTTTTTTGAATTTTGCATCCCCGCTAGCTCAAGGCTATGAAAACCGCGGTCACATGCTGGCCGTCCCTAGTACTACCAATATGCCCGCAGGCGCGGCGAGAGACAAGCTTAACGTATGAGTCACCGTCCGGCTGCCGGGAGAGCCCCTACCGCGACCTTTGTCCACAGTCATGACGTCACGACAATGGGCTCCTAAACGTACGGGCAGCGGCCGCCTCAGGGGTGCCGCCGTGACCTTTGCACGACACGTTCTATAGCGTATGGCACAGCGGTTACTAGGAAGGTTGAGGCCAGCGGCAGGCCGGTTTACAAGTAACAAACAAACTTGACGCGCAATTGACAACAGGTAACAGATTGATTAATAAGGCGGTGACAATATAAATAAAAATGACAACATGAAATGACAAATCGCATAGATGACAAATCGCATAGATGACAAATCGCATAGATGATCTCTACAGTACCCCCTCGCCAGACATGTCGCGGACAAAAGTGACATGGCGATATCTTACCGGAGGTCGTATGACGCGGCCGGAGCGGGTCGTCCGTAGTATCGGCTGAGGCTGCAATGGTGCAGCGTCAGCCCGAGCGACGGCTGCAGGGCGAGTTGGTGCGTCACCGTAGATCAGAAGCTCCGGGCCGCTGGGCTCAGTGCTGAGCGGTGGCGCGGCCGGCGGGCCGCTGGACTGAGTACCGTGCGGCTGCACAGTCGGCAGGTCAGACTGTCGATGACCGGATTCGTCTGGCGTCTCCAGGAAGGCGGCCTTACACCGGTCGATGCTGATGACCTCCTTTTTCTGTCGACGGTCGATGGTGATGGTTTTGGTGGTCCTTTCGGTAACCGGGAACGGTCCGTCGTATGGAGCGTCCAGCGGGTAGTGGTGACAGTCCTTGCGCACGAAGACGTGTGTCGCCGTCTGGAGTGCCGTCGGGACGTACGTGGCGCGCTGGACCGGACGTGGGAGTGTCGGCCGCACCTGAGACATGGCGCGCTTCAGGTCCTGTACGAAGCCGGCCGGTGATGCTGCTGAGGCTTGGCTGCTGATGAAGAACTCGCCGGGAAGCCGCAGTGTGGTGTTGCCGGTATTGCTGCTGTTGCCTCTGCTGCTGCTGCTGCTGCTGTTGCTGCTGCTGTTGCTGCTGCTGCTGCTGCTGCTGCTGCTGCTGCTGCTGCTGCTGTTGCCGCTGTTGCTGCTGCTGGACGGTCGAATGGTGCCTTGCTGGAGCATCTTGTTGAACTCGGCACGTGCGATTTGAAGGCGCTCCAGCGGGAGGCGTCGTGGCCGCTGGTACACCGGTGGACCCTTGGTGACGATGTGGTGCGTCACGTTGTGCTTCACCGGTGTCGGTCCAGGTTTTGGTGAGGTCACATCCGGGTACCGGGCGAGGACAGCTGCGAAGCGAGCAGCAGCCTGCTCCCGGACGAGACGCACTCCGATGGAGCACAGCCGTGACCGCTCGGCGCTGGCGCAGACGGTGCCGTCCCGCAGGAGACGCTGGTTGGCAACGTCCACGACGAGGTGATGTGCGGCCAGGAAGTCGGTGCCCAAGATGGGTGTGGTGACGTCAGTGACGAAGAATCGATGTTTCAGGCGGTGCTGCTGACTCAAGGTGACGTCCAGCAGGCAGGTGCCGGGCACCGCGATCGGTGAGCCGTTTGCCGCGACGAGCTGCTGGCCGACAGGAGCAGGGGTCAGTGCGGACCCGTTGGGCAGGCAGCGGCGAGGCAGCACGCTGACCTGCGCCCCGGTGTCGACTAGAAATTGCCGGTCCGTCTCCGTGTCCCTCACGAAGAGGAGTGGCGCGGCAGGAGGGGCGCCCGTGCTTTGCGCCATCAGCACGGGGCGCCTCAGTTTTCCGAGGCGATCCAGGAGCACGGCAGCTTGCATCGGCGCGCTTGGGCGCCGAATCGCTGGTGGTACCAACACAGCGTGTCGTCGTGTGGCGGCGTTGAAGGACGAGCCGGTGACGGGCGGCGTGACTGGCGAGACGCTTGGCGCGGCCGGGAACGGCTGCGTTCGCGTCGCACGGCGTCCTCGAGTCGTCGGTTGCTGGCCTCCAGGCGCTCCATCTTAGCGACCAGGGAGGCGATGACGGTGTCCAGCGCAGGGGTTGCAGCTGGCGCTGGGGCTGTCACTGCAGCAGCGATGGGCGGTGCAGGCTGTGTGTACGGCTGTGCCGCAATCGCTGATAGCCGTGGGTCCGGTCCGCTAGCTTCCAGGTACCGGTCGGCCGCTTCTGCCAGTGCGTCAAGCGTGCTGTCGGCTGGCAGGAGGGCGAGGGCAGCACGGACGGGCTGCGGTAGCCGTTGTTGAAATAGGGTATGGAAGAGCTCCGTATCAACCGGGGCGTCCCCGGCTGCGGCTAGCTCGTTGCGCATTGAGCGCAACAGCGCCGTCGGCTTCTGATCGCCGAGCTGCTGGCGGCCGAGCAGGGCTTGTAGTCGGTCGGCGCGTGACTGTGCCAGGCGGGCTTGGAGCGCTGCACACAGCACGTCAAAAGACCGGGATGACCGGATGACGTCCTTGACCTGGACGGCGATGTTGGCGGGGAGGTTTGCGACGAGGAGCTTAAACCTCAGCTCGTCGGAGTCGACCCCGCTGACGTCGAAAGCGCACTGCACCTGCAGTAGCCACAGGTCGGGCTCTTCCGGAGAGTATGGTGGTAGCCGGAAGCTAGCCATGGGCCGATGAGTTGACTCGGAGGCTGAAGCTGGAACGCTGGCCGAGTCTTGAGCTGCGGCGCCGGACTGTGCGCTGTCCGCGGGCATGACGAGAGGCTAAGGTCGAACAACGGAGATCACGTCGGGGTCACCAATTGTCGTACTGCGCTGTGGGTAGCGCGTGGCTGGACGGACGGTCTGTGACAATCTATTGATCTGTGGCTGATCTATTAGAGTGTCCGTCCGAGAGCCGTACGACGGCTGACAGAGCCTGGGGGTCGCGAACTGGTGTGGTAACCGTTACGCCCACCTGGGACGCCCGAGTCGGTACGGCACTTGCGGTGTCGTAACCGGATCGGCGGGAACCAGCAGAACGCTGTTGGACCGGCGGTGAAAGTCGGAACCGAGCACTCGCCCACCAGTGGGGCGTCTGGTCGAGCAGGTCTACCCGCTAAGGCAGCCTGAGCACGAACCAGTGGCAGGGTCCGATCAATGACCGTGGTCCGACCAGGGTGTCAGCGCAATGGCCAGTCAGAGGCGTCTTTAAGGGCGCAGAAGCCCACCTCGGTCGACTGTGGCCAGTGCAACCTAGTCAGGTCGTTTGTGTGAATCTCCGTGTTCTTCCCTCGCCTCAGAGTAGCCGCTCTTCTCCAAATGCCCGAGCCGTTTTCTATGTGTATTTGTCTTGTAGCGAACAGCAGAGTCGAGAAACGAATTGACAATGTCGCTCGAAAACCGCGGTCACATGCTGGCCGTCCCTAGTACTACCACACTGAAAGAAATTTTTACTCACTTTTCTGAGTAATGACTGAGTTGCCATTTTGTCCAATGGTAAAACTCACTCTAAATCCGCGTACTCAGGTAAAACTCAGGGCGGAACGCAGGTAAAACTCGGGCAAAACTCATTGCAAGTGAGTAGCATGTGAGTAACAAAGTGAGTTGCCATTTTGTCCGATGGTAAAACTCAGATAAAACTCAGCAAGTACTCATGCGTAACTCATGTCCTACTCAGACAACTCAGGCCAAACTCAGG